ATAAACAATCTAGGCCTATATGATTTTTTTTTCACTATGACTCTCATGATATGTAGGCTATGTGTATACATGCCGTACAGTATACTGCTCCTACTCTGACACATGAGTTTATCCTGCTAACTTCAAAAGTATTGCATTTAAGCTTTAAATTGCCAGACATTTTTAGACACACTCGAGTCATGTCACTTATGGCGCGTTTCCACTGCCGCGCAGAACTCGCTTTAAGCGTGCACTGCAGAGCCGTGCGGGGCTCGTTTTTGGTTGCGCTTCCACTTGGCCTAGTTTTGGCCCGGGGCTACTTTTTCACCTTTTTTCTGGCCGGACTAAATCGTGGTTCTATCGAGGCCAACAAACAGGGCTGAGTCGGGCTGAGTTTGCTAAACTAGAGAAAGAATCGCTGTCAAGGGGGCTACAACTACAACAAGATGAACATATTTGACCGTGATTTAATTGTAATACACGTTTCAAAATGATGCCAAACTAACAACATACTGATACCGGTTAGTAAAAATCATGAATTAATGCTTTGATAAGTCTGCAGACAGACGGAAGGCGAAAAACCTTTTAAAATGCGTGATCTTCTTATTATAGACACATGCATTTCCAAACATTTGGTCTACCTACGCTGTAAAATGTATTATCTCTTCGATTTACACACGGAATCTATTGCACGTCTGTCCGTCCTGGGAGAGGGATCCCTCCTCTGTTGCTCTCCCTGAGGTTTTCTCCCATGTTCCCCTTTAAACTGTGGGTTTTTCTCCGGAGGTTTTTCATTGTACGATGTGAGGACAGAGGGTGTCGTTTTCTCATACTGATATTCTGCACAAACGGTGCTGTTGTATTTGCTGTAAAGTGTCTTTACTGTCGGGTATTTTTATTATATGTACAGCACTTTGGCTGGACCAAAAATCGTTTAAAATGTGCTATATAAATAAAACTTGATTTGATTTGTTGTCTAAATGGAGATAGGGCTCAGCTTACGCAATATAGGCTATATGCTCCGACCGTCCACACTCACAACGGCCTATACAGACATAAATAAACCAGGGACTGTATTCACCATGACACAGACAGTCAGTGGTTTGTACTTGTTTAACTTTTGTCTAGTTTCTGAACAGATATGAGGAGCTTGAGTGTAAACAGCTAACGGCTGATGTTGTTTTTTCTGGGTTGCTCACGGGTGCTCATTGAAGATGATGTCACGGCTCCGCCTACACTGCGTTACTATAGTTACTGCCCCAGCTCATAAACTGTAATGGAAGAGCAGCATTAAAGTGAGCCGGGCCTAATAAGGCCTAACCAAACCGAGCGAGGCCGAGTGAGGCCTGTGGTGGAAATGCGCCATTAGCTTTGCAACAGTTTGAGGAAAATAGATGCAAGATTTAGGCCAACTTGTCTTTTTCTGTAAAGAATTCAGTAACGTAACTTTTTGGCTGTATTATCTGTAAGCTCTGCCTCCACATTTTTTGTGCACTTCACTATGATTGGGTCTTGGGCCGTCCTGACGGGCTGGGTTTTCCACAGAGCTGTCAGAGTTGTTTTAGTGGATAGCTGGTAAATCACAATGTGGGAGACTGTGCCATGATGTATCGCAACGTCTTCCATCAGCCTAGCTGCACTCACTCTTCTCTTCCTGGGGTATGATGACGTTCCCGCATGAAAAGTTTTTCCACATGTGCTACACGAGCCACATGATGTTGATTTTTGCCTTGGAACTCTAATCACTAAAACACCCCTGCTCAAACAAAAACAAAAGGTAATGACATTTGAGCGAGTCTGTTTTGTAATTTGTAAAAAGCTAATTGAAATTCAACTTGTCCGTCTAACCTTTGTCCACCTGAACCTGTTTTCTAGCCTTTAGATACTCACTTAGATCACTTATTTTGGGATGAGGCAGAGGGTCTGGCAGCTGAGGAGTTTGCTAAGTGCAAACAGACTCCAGACTGTGGCAGGATCACAGATTGTTCTACTTTTTTTCAAATACATCTAGAGTTAAGCTCTGGATTGAAAGAGGACTGATATTATGGATGGAGGATAATTTCAGGATTGTTTTTGTATTCTATCACTATCCATCATATATATGTGTTCAATTTAAATATTGGATGATTTGGATCAATTAAACAAAGTCATGAAAAGGAGTTAATCCAAATTCTATTAGATATTGTAAGCCTTGTGAATATTCACTTCATGACGCTGAGGCCCTGCTGCCAAATCGTGACCAAGTTCTCAGGAATGTGCTTCAGCATTGTTTGCATTTTTGTTGCCTGACCTCTTTCTCAGCCTGTTGAAATCAGGGAGCCCATCGATTTCCTCCCAAGCCCCCTTAATGCTAAAATGTGTTTCACAAAGAGGCACATACAATCCGATTCCTGCACTGTTTGTGTTGGCTTTGAATACTTCCAAGGAGGAGGATGGAACGTTTGTTTATGTGACAGATCTAACGATTGTTTGGGTTCCTATCAACAATGTGTGCAGGGAAAAAAGTTGATCGTGTCTAACCTTTATTTCATCTCCGAAGAATTGGGTCATAGTTGAGTCTGCCACAACCAGGGTCTCTATGAACCGTGGTGCGGAAACAAAGCGTCTCCGGCGAGGTTCCCTCCTTTCCCCGTTGTGCTCCGCCGCCGCCGCGTGATCAAACAGGAGGGGAACACCGTGGCTGTTTGTGAATGTCCTTCTCTTGATGACATGCAGATGCTCGGCAGCGTCTGGCCCCAGGCCGCCGCGAAGTTTGGGCTCAATTAAATACTCTTTCCCCTCCGTTATAAAGGAGCCAAAGATGCCGGCGCACAAACTGACAGCCACCATCGAGCTCTCATCGTGGTCTACATTCCCCGAGTAAAAACAGCTCCTAAGATGTCCTTCACTCTCCTCTGTCTGGTTCATGTATTTGTGGAGATCTGCGACAGGCTGGGCACCTGAAGCGCTGCGTAAAGCGCCAACATCTCTGGCTTTAATGCGCTGTATGGTGAACGAAGGCGCGATAAAGCTGGTATCTGGAATAAGATTAAGTGTCAAATCCTTGCCAAATGCACTGAGGATAAACCTCGGCTGCTCCTCACTCCTTTTCCAAAAGCGACCACTGATTCTTCCATTTATCCGGACAGGTACAATATCCTCTGATTCAAAAGGAGTTGAAAGTGCAGCGTTCATTACGCCCAGGAGTAAAAACATCAAACACACAGTGGAACACATCTTCTGCAATGGAAATTACACTGACGAGCGGTAAAAAATAAAGACTTTATTAGAATGAATGTCCTTGATCTCTGGTAAGTGGCGCGTCTTCTCCAATCGATATCTCCTCAGGTCGGGAATCTTTTCAAAATAAAATAGATTGTCCAGCGCTGCAAGACAATCTTGGTCAAACTATTTAATTTCAGTCTGTCTGAGTTGTCGTTTCTAATTCACCAAGCAAGCTAAGTCTTGTTGTGCCACTCACCAGCACCGCTGCAGTCTGGACACATCGGGGGTATTTATACTTTCTGCTCTTCCCTGGACATGAGGGGGTTTATTTTTGATATCCTCGGTTGCTGGAAATTCTCCTCCCACTCGCACTTCATGAGATACTCGCGGATAAAACGGATCCAATGAGAATAGGCCGACACTCCCCCCTTCTGAAATAGCTTGACAACCATGCTCCTATTATTAACCCAGCGTGCTATATGGCAGCGGCAGGACATCTATACTACGCATAGCTGGAAGTCCGCTGCTTGGGTTATTTCGAAGCCTCGTGTGAGTGGCAGGCCCCGACAGAGCCCGGAGCCCCCCAAGGCCGGTCTGCTTATCCCTGCACAAAGGAGCACCGCTGGACAGAGAAAGGCACTGAGTTTGCATGGAACTGACCGCCACCTTGAACCCTGGGAAATGTTCAAACACATTGGTAAAGCTAAAGGAAGGATATATGATGTTATTATTCTTTCATTAACCAATAACCATAGTCCATAACCCCCCACAAAAGAACATATGTTTGAAATAATAATAATAATAAAAACCTTATTATAAAAATACAGTTACAAAGAATATTATTATTTAGTTATGTTTTCATATAGGCTACCATAACCCATAGAAAAAGTTAAATGATAATAATAATCATAGTACTTAGAATAAAAATAAAAATAATTATAGCACTTTTCAAAACAAAGTGTTTTACAATTTAAAAAAACGAACACCATTTAATCACGAGGACAATTAAAGGAACTAAAAGCCAACCAAAACCAAAATAAAAACATAGTTATTCAAACATTAAAAAAAATCATAGACAAGCAATTCTTAAAAGTATATAGGTGCAAGAACACGGAGCAATTTCTGAAACAAATCGATTTTTTCTGAAATTATATTTGATTTATTACTGCAGATTTTTCTTTTTTTTCTCCATGATGCTAAGGTTTTTCTAAAGGGCTACTGCTGTATTACGATAATAAAAACGTGTTCTTCCTGGAACAATGTAAATCACTAAATTGATAATGTGTGTAAGGAGAGTGCCATCTCTTTAAACAATAACAATGGTTCTGGAGGTGCATTTCCACAAATTAACCACCAGGTGGCGCCACAGTCAAGCACACCTGTTCAGGCGCTCAGAGGAACTTGCCGTTAACATTTGGTGCTGCAGACAGGTGTCGCTCTTTGCCTGCACTCCACTTTGCATGTGCCTTTAAACTTTGTTCTTATGCATAAGGATATGCAGAACAAAATGTATGTGTTTCTGTGCATGTGAGTGGATACTCCTTTCATGTTTTAATTTTTTATTTGACCAATTCAAATATTTACGTCTAAAAATACATTTTCTGGAAAGAAAAAAAACAAGTGGAAAGTACATTTTATGATTTATTTTTAGATCGTGTAAAGTTATGATGCAGGTGGATTAGTTTTAAATGCACGTTTAAAAACTTAAACTCTTGTATTTTGGGTTTTGTTCCTTGTGTGTTTGCTCATTGTCTGTCTTCCTCACAGTGAGTCAGGCGGTGGGAGGGGAATGATGCTCTATAGCTCCTGTCACACATGCGGTACAGCAACAATAATATTTGGAGAGTTACAAGTGGCTGCGGTTTGCAGCTCAAACCGAGACGCATGACCAATGAGCTCTCTCTCTCTTGCGCACGAACCCAGATTTCTTTTGACAGACATCATCGGTGTTATACTGTATGTGCGAATTTAAAGATCAGCCGTGCAGACAAGTTGGTGGCCAGAGTGGAAACGGTGCAAGATGGAAGAGAAGCTGGAAGTCAGTGCAGACGCAAGCTGCGCTCCGTGCCATTACGCATAACTTTTGCTGCACCGAAGCTGAAATAGAGTGGACTTTCTTGAGCAAGATGGCTATACTCATCAGTTCATTGATTGTATTAACAAAGTTCCTGCTTTATTTGAACCCAGCATATTGCATGGAGGTAGATGTTTGCATCCCTGTGCGTGTGGATCATCAAAGGCACGAGAAGCATCTGCACCGGCGCGCGGAGGAGATTGAGGAAAGACAGATCGTTTTCAGACTAAGTGCATTCAAACAGGAATTTTACCTCCAACTCACGCCGGACTCTAGTTTCCTTGCACCGGGCAGCTTGCCACTTGAGAGCAGCTCCTCAGCATCCAACGAAACCTCTGACCTAAGGGAATGCTTCTACTCCGGGAATGTCAACGCGGAACCGGACTCATTTGCCGCGCTCAGCCTGTGTAAAGGTCTCCGTGGAGGGTTTTCTTATAACGGTATGGAGTATTTCATCAGCGTGACTGGCAGTGAGGACGCTGCGTCAGGATTTGGAAACTCTTTCGACAGAACGCACATCATCCAACGCCGGAGACGCGCTGGGCACTCGGGTACTAATTTCACCAGCAGGTGTGGAGTTACACCTGATTCCAACTTTAACATTTCCCTGGAGAAATACAAGCACTTGGGCCAACTGGAGTTTGATGGCTTAACCGAAACTGTGTTGAAAACCCTGGGGAGGTCCAAGAGATTTGCCTCCATCCCAAGGTTTGTGGAGGTGCTGGTGGTGGCGGACGAATCTATGGCAACATTTCACGGGGATGACCTAAAGCATTACCTCCTGACCCTGATGTCAGTGGCAGCCAGGCTTTACAAGCACCCCAGCATCCTCAACTCCATAAACATAGTGGTGGTGGGATTCATGGTGATAAGTGACGCTGACAAGGGACCAAAGGTTTCCAGTAATGCAGCCCTGACTCTGCGCAACTTTTGTTCCTGGCAGAAGAAATTGAATAAACACAATGACAAGCAGCCAGAGTACTGGGACACTGCCATACTGTTCACCAAACAGGTAAGCAGGGGAGGAGGGAGCTTAGTCAAACACAGATGTGATGCATCAGCAGGGAAAGAAATAATTAGAAATGATACACTCATAGGTGGATTATAAAACAATGGGCCCCAGGTCACACATATTTAAGGGCCCCTGTCTCTTCTACACATGAGAAATAAACCCAGACTGTAGATTCAAGATTCAAAGGCTTTATTGTCATGCACAGTAGCTAGAGTGTAGTTACGGCAATGAAAATCTTACCACCCTCCAACAATGGAACATGAATATATTTAAAACATGAAACAATAACGCAAATACAAAAAACAATACAAATAGTGCAAGAAGAAACAGAGTACAAATAAAATAGTGCAAGAGAATGTTGCAAGACTAATATGCAAGTAATAGGAGACAAAATGACTACTCTTCCAGTCATATTCTGCAGATGAACCAAACTCTAACACTCAGGGACACGACACAGGCATGTTTGCAGTCATTGGATTGACTTGCAAGAATTTCATACAGGTCTGTGCCCTGTGGGGTTATGCATCCTTGATGTGATGATGCAGCCCTGCTAGTCCTCTTTCTGTATTTCAATGAGTCACTGTAAAAGAGCAACAGAGCCGTTTCCATAAAAAGTCTTCACCTCTGTAGACCCAGTTCTTATTCTGCAGCTGCAGAACTTATTCTGCAGCTGCAGCTGCAGAATAAGAACTGAGTGATTATCTGCATATAGGAACCTTCAATATGAATCATAAGAATCCAAACTCCTTCTTTATTCATTCAAGCTGGTGGTAACTGACACTATCTACGGCATTCAGTGTGGTCACAGCTGTCAGATAATCCCATGTGGCCACAGAGCTGTAACCATTGTTCAGTACATCCTACACCAAATTCACTGATGCCTGTTTCATGGTGCCTGCTTTCCATTAGGGTCCAGTTTGGCCATCTGATACACGGCCTCTCTCCTTCACTGCACAGCAACATACAAAAACATTTCAAGATCAAAACGACTTAAAATATCACAGTGTACTCGGGAAAGATCCCTTTATTTACACTAAGGGTAATTATATGTAGGAAAGTCCGGCGGTGTTGTCCTTGTAGGGCACAATGAGTGCAGCTGCAGAGATGGAACAAATCTTGTAATAGGTTATGCAGAGCTGGTGGTGTGGAATACACATGGCTGGCAGAGGGGGCTTCTGGCATCGCTGGGCCTCATCGAAACACTGGGTTAACAAGTTTATCGTCCACTTTGGACCGATAGTGAGTCATTTCAATGACATGACCCTTTCTACTGATCATTTTTCCATTGTTGAGGTCTACTAGAATAGATTTACATTGTTCAATGTTCCAGATTCACATTGTTTTTTCATACAGCATCTCTGTATATAATGTTTATTCACTCTCTGTCCTAAATGGCTTGTTGGAGCTCCTGCCCCCCCGCCCCCCCAAAGTAAATGGGGACTCCCTGTTAGTTAGCCAAGGGATCCTGGTGTGTGAGGTGCTCCGCGGATTGGTCCATTTGGGCCATCCGGTCATTTGTTGTTGATTTGGGTGTTAACACGTCACAGAACCCAGGAAGAAAACAATGGAAAGGAGCAATCTCCAACATGGCGTTCTGGGGCAGCATAGACAGGTCTTTTCTGTGTTAGAGTTTTACTCGCTACAGGGTGTACTTTGAGGCTTTGTGACTCAGCAGACCGTTTACATGCAGAAAAAGCTACATAACACACAAGGGGACGGGTAATAAACAGAAAAGCATGACATGGGACCTTTAAAGAGTCTCTATAATGCTTTTTGGGGTTTCCCCTATAGTGTGTTATGTAGGTTTTTGTGCATGTAAATGGTCTGCAAAAGCTAAAACCCCAAAGTTCCCTTTAGAGGGAGTTTCTCTCTCACACTGCCCTGCTTGAATCACCTCCATTTTACTCCTTTGTTTACTTCTGTCACATAATGACATCATTATGTGACACTCGCGCCTCTATTGGCTAGCGCTCCTACAGATTGAACGTGATAGGCTAAGGGGAGGGACATCTCCAATACATCTCTAAACAGTAGACTAATCACAACAGAGCCGGCAGCTAACCAATCAGGTTTCAGACAGAGGTGCTGCAGAAATAACTTGTATAACATTAAAGACAGTAAAACACAAAATACAAATATTAACCTGAAACAAATTAGCATAATATGTCCTTTAACATCATTGTAGTGCCAAAATAAAAGTTGGGGGATCAACAACATCTTTGAGATTCATCCTCTGGTGATCATGAATGTCTGTATGCATTTTCCGAGATACAGTATGTTTCAAAGCTGTTTAAATATTTCCTTCCAGCCCTATAAGTTATGGTCTTACTACCTGACAATGTTATATATTCAAAAATAATCCAACGAGCAGAACGGAATGGGGGACAATTGTGTTGTTGACTTACCCAGCTAAGTACAGCCAAGTACAAATGGAGGTACAGTAAATAGATAAGTCATGATACTGAGAGAATTGCAAATAAACACATAATGACCGTGTTGATATGGTTCTTTTACTTCCCCTGGGCTGTGTACCGCAGGTGGGACCTATCTCGTGCTCCCAAACTCTCTTTACATAAACACTAAGAGGAAATATGCAGTGGGCAATCTCCCCTGACCTTTTGCTTCAATATATTTGAAGAACAGAGCAACAATAAACGAACCACAGTCCCATGTGCTTTGTATTAGTGCTCTTCGTGGTCTGTTCAATCTGTAGCTCAAGGCACAGCCTCACCAAGAAGAACAGTGTCCTAGTCCAACATTTTTATGAGAATGAAATGAAAGGCGTGTCCCAATGAACATTTATGTTTCTGTGTCACCAGGATCTCTGCGGGGCCACAACCTGTGATACATTGGGGATGGCTGATGTTGGGACCATGTGTGACCCGAAGAGAAGCTGCTCTGTCATCGAAGATGATGGCTTGCCCTCCGCCTTCACAACCGCCCATGAACTTGGTAAGAATTGTGTGGTTTGGGAAATGTGTTGAACAGCTAACGATGACTAACTCTCACATTATGCATTTTGGATTCATGCTAATGCACACTTGGCCTCAGAGACAGATGCTCAAGGCAAGAGCTGCATACAACCTTAGCTTAAGTTGTCAGAGGAATTTTTTATAAGGAAACTTTTATGCGCACAATCAGTCTGCAAACTGGCCTGGCCGGAGGGCTTTGCTACTTTCATGAAGATCTGTGTGACGTTGGTTCTTCATCCTGGTCCCAGCACGATTGCTGGGTCTCAAACCTACCAGCTAATAAATTGCATGTTCTTGTTGAAAATCCGTCCCTGACTAGATGGGCAAAATCAAAACCAGCAGGTCTCTGGGCGAGGTTCAGATTTTTTCATGTTTGGTATTACAGTTGCACGACATAACTTTGCTCACTGGCAGCTGCAAATGGTACAGTTCAGGCATCATCAATTATTTCACACGATAAAATGATACTGACAAATATACTAATACTATTAGCATCAACATTCCAGCTAGGCTTTTTTTTGTGAGAAAGAAAGTGTTAGCAAGGAAAAAGGGTTGAACTATAGGCAACATAACACATGTACAGTTTTCTCTGAGTCCTAACTGTCTCTTTAAGAGAGTATAAACACAACCCAGTCTCACGGCATTTCGTGTAATAGTCACAAAATCCTTTTAATCTATTGATTCGTGTTCACCAACACGATTTTCCCCTTTTTTTCGTGTCACACAGAACGATTTTAAAAGCAATGTATTTCTATTGGTAGTCTGTTTCGTGCATTACGTGTTATTGGAAGACCAGAAGCTGTGGGGTTCATAAAAACATGTTCTTAATCAATATCAAGCCACGATTATTGTTTTTATTTTAAATTGTATAATGTCTGACTTTTTTTGCCGTCTGTGAAGAAAATAAATGGGGCTCAGAGCCTTAGAATACTGAAATCTGTATTTTTTAAATCTTTTTTTCCTTCTAATTTGTTATTCTTTTCAAAATAACACACTGTTATATATTCAACAATAATATACACTTATCTTTGTCTTTATTTATTTGGTTGAAGCTCGGTAATTGGATGTTTTAGCTGCAATGCATGTTGGGATATGGTGTTTATCACATAACGGCATTGTAATACACGGTTCGGCTGCATTAAATATTCCACATCTGCCGTAGTTCTTTATTTATAGAGCCCTGATTAGAAGACTTCTAGACAAACAGGAAAAACTGCCACCGAAACGGAATATGTGACGTGGATCATAAATATATCAGCAATTAAACAACATCTTCAATTTCTCTTCACACAATACGTCTCCTTGTAGTATCAACATTAATTCGGCTGACTTTTACATTTGATCCAATTGGTAGATAGGTTATATTTACACCATAACGGTGCACAGCTGATATAAAAGGACTTGTAGTTTTTAAAGATATTACTGATTTTCTTTGAATATAAGAATGTAAATACTGAGGTGAGAGAATAGTCAGCGGTTTTGGGTGATGGGAGACACATCTATGGATTCAGAATTTCAATAGCTTACCCTTAAATGACGGATGACAACAGCGGTAATTAAAAGTTTAAAAGTCGAAAAATGCTACAACTACTGTCACAAACTGGATGAATGTGAAGTAGTTTGTTAAAGGAGGATGGAAAAGCCGTAATTAGGGAGCACTATGGAGTGACTTTGATGCGTTTAATTGGACCAGGATCATTAATCTGGATTCCCGCTGTATGAAGAAATGAAAGGACGCGCAAGTGGAAACAAATTTTTCACGCAAAGGGATTATACTGTTTAAAACATGCTCAAAGTAAGCCGGATTTTGGGGATGTGTTTATGTGGATTCAAAAGTCGTAAATAATCTACAAAATGGAGGAGATCGATCTGATCGGAGCAACTGTGACAAATGGTCTGAAACCGGCATGGACAATGACTATGTTTTAAAAATAAGCCTGTTTTGGAGACTTTGCGGGCAGAAGAAACATTTCTATTAAAGAAAACATTATACATTTCTGTCTTTTTATGCCTTTAATAGCTACTAACTTGAATTTGTATTCAAATTAATTAATCAATTATTTTTTATATTTTATGTAATGTAGAGACAAGGCTTTTAGTGACAATCATGTATTGCGTTGCAATTATATGTAAAAAAAAAAGGATACAAAAAAAGAAAGTCTAAATATGATTTTTGGCCTCAAATCATCTGAGGCCTGGCGTAAAAATACCAGGTTAACCTCTGAATTGTAGTGGAGTAGAATTACAAAGTAACAATGAGCTGTCATGTGGGTATATATTAATGCTGCCCATTATGGATACAAGCGATTTTCACCCATTTAGTAATTACATGTTTAAAATTTGTACACACCAAGAGACGTGCCATAGAACATGTTGCGAAACACAGTAGCAAGCATGTGTAGTTCCCCTCCCCCCGATGTGTTTAGTTGATGAGTAGGCCTACTGCTCAGTATTCTGAGCCCCATTTATTTTCCTCACGGACAACAAAAAAAGTCAGACATTATAGAATTTAAAATAAAAACAATAATCGTGGCTGAGTAAGAACATGTTTTTATGAACCACACAGCTTCTGGTCTTCCAAGACCCGACCGGACAAAAAGACATGGTGCAGGCACGAAACATACTACCAATAGAAATACATCGCTTTTAAAATCGTTCTGTGTGACACGTAAAAAAGGGGGAAATCATGTTGGTGAACACGAATCAATAGATTAAATGTTGTGACTATAACACGAAATGCTGTGAGACTGGGTTGTAAGTACAGGAATCAGTGCATGGTTAGTCTAGCTTGGCATTAAGGACGAGCACCGAGGAAAGGCAGAAGATCTGCTTGGATAAAAAATGTGTTGAAAATGAGCGCTAAGCTAGGCTAACCACATACTAGCTCCAACAGATTGATGTCAATTCTCTCTTTTCACTTTAAGGGAGCTATCCAAGTAGAGTACTTTTTTAAATTATTGATTATTATTTTAAATTACAAATCAAATCAAGTTTTATTTATATAACACATTTATAAACGATTTTTGGTCAAGCCAAAGTGCTTACAGTCTATTATATCCTTGCCAAATAGCTAGGTAAGACCAACATATTGATTGGCATTACATCAGTCATCATAGTAAGTGATCATGCTCTTGTTTCCCAGATTTCTGACTTCAAACTGGAGGTGGAAGTTGGATTTATTACTCCCTGCGTGTGTTGTCTGTGTGGGAAATTTGGACAAATTGAGACAAATCCACAGGGATGCATTTTTTCTCTTTTCATCAGGAATTTAGGCTGATTTAATGGATGTGGTTTTATTCCCCCCCAAAAAAAACTAATTGCAGATCTAAGTTACATGCCTGTCAAAGGTGAAAATAAATGGAGGTGAAGTTGAACACTGCTAATCACGCTTTCTAATTAAATCTAATGTGTAGTACTTAACTTTATGCACTGTCGTTTGACACACTAACACTGTCTAGTTAAGGCTGATTCTATTAATAATACATGCAACTTTTTTCATATTTTAAATATCAGTGTTTTGGGTTGTAAAATAAGTAAGATTCTTGCCTGAAACCAGATGCACAAATAACTCTTGACCCCCCAAGAGAGGCATTGGTTTACACTGCCCTTATGTATGTTAAGTAATCACACAATTTCCTCCCAACATGCTCCTGTCTCATGATTGAATACCCGAAACACAGTTTATGTATTTTTTTTTTCATTTCTGGAAAGTAATACATGTTCGTATTTAGGGAGTGAAATGATTTCCTTGGGAACTAAATTCCCCTGTCAGGCCTGGTCTAGAACATGGACGAACGCCATCCTGTATATTCCCATGCATAACTGCATTCCTCTGTGCGATGACATCAGCTTCAAATCAGTCCAAGTTGAGCTTGCTTAGCCATATAAACATGTGTGTTGTCTGGTAAAAAGCTTCTCTTTGGGTAAATCCCCTCAGAAGTATCTGCCCAGTGACTTTTCCTTAAGGCTAACTGTGTTTCAAATCATGGGACAACTAACAGTAGAGGTTCCTGACTCTAACAAAGAGGTAATCTTCTTTCTCTCTTCTCTCATCCCCCAGGCCACGTCTTCAACATGCCCCACGACAATGTGAAGGCATGTGAGGAGGTATTTGGGAAACTAAAGGACAACCACATGATGTCTCCCACACTGATTCAGATCGACAGGAGCAGGCCCTGGTCTGTGTGCAGCGCAGCCATTATTACTGAGTTCCTGGACAGAGGTCATGGTTAGTAAACACTTCCTATATATGTCTCTGGACTCAGATGGACCACTAATTCTGTCCAGGCTTCATGTGCTCAGCTGGTTCTAATCTAATAGTACCTGCAAAAACAGACCTTGGCTTTGGTTTCTCATGGTTACATTTTTAATTTTAGTTTGTACTTTTATTATTTTTTATTTTATGTTTAACCCTGATACTTTTGTTAATATACAGTATATTTCTGGTTGTATTAGATGCTTCTTGGACGAGGCGAAGGTTTATTCTTGAGTTACTTTTTTTCACAATGTGTGCCTTATCCTTCAAAAATGGGCTCTTGGAATAGAAAAGTCAAACTACTCAGCCTAGGGTCAACCTACTGTACTTCAACACTTTAAAACAAACTTCACAATAAATAACACATAAATCCAATATCAAGAGAATAAAACTGCATAAGCTTAGTATTACAAAGTCTAACTTTGTATCTATGTTGACAAGGGAGTCCATCAAATAACTTACCTAAAGACGACATTTAATACTAATTTTCAAATGGGAACTTTAAGATTTTAGCCTTTGCAAACCATTTACATGTACACAAACCTACTATACAGTATAACACACTACAGGAAAGGGAAAACCTCAAAAGCATAAAAAGACCCATGTAATTAAAAAAAGCAGATTTCTAAAAGTTGTTCTTATATACATATTTTAAACAACAATTTGTCAAACCACTATGTGAAATAGTATTGGCATACATAGGATCAGAATTCTCTAAACTTGACTATTTTGTTTTAACAACAAACTTGAAGTGATGCAGCACCCAGTCCTGAAGTGCAAACTGACAAACAGCATATGTTATATGCTGATCCGGGCCTATACATTTATATAAAGCTTTTTAAGAGAAAAACGAAAGATCCTAGAACATATCAGATTCCACAAGAAATGCAGAAATGTAAAATGTAAAAGAAGTGCAAAATAAATCACTTGATAACATCAAAGAAAGTATTTTCCTTGCGATGTTATTTCGTATTATGATGATAGTATCCACTTCCAGTATCCAAATTAAATATAACATTCATAAGTGAATGAATATATCATTCTGGTTTCTTTCTCCGCAGTAGCCCTTATGTGCCAAGTCTTTTTCTGTCCGTGTGTAAACTCCCGTAAGTGACTGTGAGTGGATTCTGTGGAATAGCCACCACATTATTACTTCCCCTCAACCAGCCTACTTACTGTAACAAGCAAATGTGCATTTACTAAATTAAACACTACATTGCTAACAGTCCTTTTCTACATGATTAATTTACTTTATCTAAATATAATATGGTGCCTGTGCTGTCTCAAAGACGCCTAAGAGTCTGCTTTTGAAAGACTGAAGACAATTTCAATTCATTTTAGGTAATTGTTACTTCTCTAACAAAGAGAGTATAACTGCAAAATTTAGCAAAAACAAATGCTGTTAATTTTGTTCTTAAAGCTATAGTTATTGATTTCTTGGCCATATTGGTGCTGTGTAACAAGCTGTAAACAAAGTATGAGCATATAACCAAATTATCTACGAGTTGCCTATACACAAGAAAAAGTTCTATATTCACCCTTGACTATCCAATGTTTTTGGTCTTCATGAACTCCTGAAGGAAGTATCAAGGACTTTCCCATCAGCTGGTCAATAACTGTGTCAGTGTGTTGTTTGGTGCCGGACAGGTAGAATTAAATGGGTTTATTGCACTGAAAACAGCTGCCTGCTGCTCTTGGAAACATCGTTGTTTGAGTTCTGAGACTGAAAGACAGGAATAGAGGGGGGGAAAGCGTTTTAAGATGCTCAAACGTTCCGGAGGGTTGGTGATAATTCTTTCTGGGTTCCAAAAGCAACACCTCTCATATTACCCCCAAGTACCCATTTCCCTTATAGTAAATATTACCATATCAATAAGTGCAACTTGTAGTAATTGCGACTGATTTTTTTGCAATGTTGTTGGTCTGTTTCTGCAGGAGACTGTCTGCTGGACCAGCCTCAGAGGCAGCTGTCCCTTACCGACAACCTGCCTGGGTCCAGCTACAGCCTGCATCGTCAATGTGAGCTTGCCTTCGGCTCCGGCTCCAAGCCCTGCCCATACATGCAACCCTGCTCCAAGCTGTGGTGCACCGGAAGGGCCCGCGGCCAGCTGGTCTGCCAAACCCGACACTTCCCCTGGGCGGACGGCACCAGCTGTGGTAACGGTAAAATATGCTTCAGAGGAACCTGCACTGATAAGAACACCACCATGCACATCAAGGTGAGAGAATGCAGAACGACAGCACTGTCAAACTTCCTTTTTTTCAGTACAGATTGATGTACCATTGTGTCTGTTTTTCCTTTGTCTCAGGTGGATGGTCGGTGGGGGAAGTGGGGACTATTTGGGGACTGTTCTCGAAGTTGTGGTGGAGGAGTTCAGCTGGCCAAGAGAGCGTGTGACAACCCCATTCCTGAGAATGGAGGCAAATACTGCTATGGCCTTCGCATCAAATATCGCTCATGTAACCTCAACCCTTGCCCTGAAACAGGTACGCTAGTCGCTGTTCCAGTATGTTCACAAACAAAGACACACAATAATGGCTGTTATTGACCATTCACTAAACATGTTCCAAAAACTGTCCAGTTACTTTACAGTTACTTTAGCTTATGTAACTACCCAGAAGTTGCGCTAGACTTGACGGTCAAGATCGTAACATTTCTGTCAAAATCCACTATTACCCGTCGACCTTTACAGAACTCTGACAAGGGGGGGGGGGGGGGAGAGAGAGNAAGCTCGTGAACTGTCAACCGGGGGGGGGGGCGCACGCTCGTGAACTGTTAATGTAAAGCAAAAACTCCCAGACATTTCAATGATTTCTACGGCAAAGTTTGGTTTGGAAACGGTATCATTTCCTTTTTGGCACGCATAACACCAGAGCCTTGCTGCGGGGAAACTTTGGCGCTGTTCGGAGTTTGTTCTAATCTGTCAAAACGATGTACTGCTTTCAGATTTTTCCGCCATTGTTAAAAAAGATATTCGGTTAACGCAACCTCTGGTAATCACACACATCAGGCCTGTAAAAGTTTAGCTTTCTCTGAATGCTGAAACAGTTGAAGCAACCCAAAGCAACTGAGCAAAATTGGAAGGAATGGATCGAACAGTGTTTTAATTTGGAGTAGCTAATAGCTTCGCAATATGGTAGAAACATAACCAAGCATTAATTTAAGCCCAATAATAAGATGTAGTAGTTACAGTGAAGAAAAGCCTAATTTCATTACTGGCACATCCACTGTGTAGCCTCCCCACAATGTTGGAGAGTAGCATATTAGCAGCTGTTTCCTGCTCTTTACTGGTTTGGGGAAATCAACATTCCAAAAACCCCAGCTAAAGTTATTTGACATATAAGACATTGGATAGTTTTCATCCTGAAATACTATTCTCTTGTGAGGTTAAAAGTTAAACATACTCTTTTAAAATGTATTCAAGTATGTGCGCTAAGGAGACAGCAAGTGTGTATTTAAGCTCCCTTGAAGTTAACGTTAGCTTAATTAGCCTGCTAGCTACAGCTAGATATAAACTGTCAGGAAAGTAGAAGTTTCTGTTGTCTATCACTTTCTAAAATAATCATGGACCCATAGTTTTGAAAATTACTTGGAAGTTGAAGCCGGAAATCTGCCACCATTATCATAAGTGAAGTGCACGTGCTGTGCAAAAACGCACATCATTTATATGAGTAGCAACTATGCCGCTCTTGGTGAATGTTCAATTTCAAAACTCCAGCCACAGTCTGTAAGGTCAACAATTTTGGAGTAGATCTCTATTTAACCTGACGTTGTTTCTATCTCTAGGTAAGAGTTTCCGTGAGGAGCAGTGTGAGGCATTCAATGGAATAAACCTGAACACCAACAGACTGGGTCCGTCTGCGGTTTGGGTTCCTAAATATTCAGGCATCTCTCCTAAGGACAAATGCAAACTTATCTGCCGTGCCAACGGTACTGGGTACTTCTATGTCCTTGCTCCAAAGGTATGTAACTTAAAAACACCGTGTTAATAAAGTAGAGAAACTAATTATAGCCAAATTAAATATTGACTACTTTGACAGAATGGTGATCAGAGAATGATAATTGCAAGATTCAAGCAGTTGTAGCCACTAGATGGTATATATCTGTCTAAAAGCTTGGACTTGACTGTAGTAAATTGTTTCAATATTCTGATCTAAATGGGAATCAACTACTTTACTTGCTGATGCAATCTGTACTCCTTGTATTTGAAATATTTAGCTGCCCGCTGTTCACAATGGTATGGCGTGTAATTTCCCTGTATCTTTTGGCCCTTATTTGGAATGAAAGAAGTGACTAGTTATTTCCACAGCAAAGCAATGACAGGTCATTTGTTGGTGGCAGTAGAGAGAGAGCGGCTGCTGCTGCTGGATGGATGGTGTGGTGGGAAAGGAAACATGCAGGGACAGTATCACTTCACAGCTGGGGCTTGTCAGCTACTATTTACTCAGCCAAAAGGAAACAAGCTTGTAGCAGTAATACAAGCCAACATCTCTTTTCCACTTAAGAATACTGTGCACTTCCTCTGGTTCTACATCTGACCTTTATCAAGCTTTTCAGTTAATTGTTTGTTTACTTAGAACATTTAACAATGTAAATATGGAAGACCACATGTGGCAACATACTCTTGCCTTTCATTTTATTATGCATCTTAAGATTGTCATAATATAATGTCTTCATCCTTGCAGGTTGTGGATGGGACCCCCTGCTCTCCTGACACCTCAGCTGTATGTGTTCAAGGAAAATGCATCAAGGCAGGCTGCGATAGCAAGCTGGACTCCAACAGGAAGTTTGACAAGTGCGGGGTGTGTGGCGGCGACAACCAGGGCTGCAAGAAGGTCTCAGGAATGTTCACCAAACCTATGTAAGTCGCACGTCAGCAGATACTGTATTACCTGAGTGTTGAAGTGACGGGAAAGGTCGAGGTCAACATTGATGTCAACTTTAGATTTTGGGGCATATAGAATAGCTGGAAATAGGTCTTTGCTAAATCGGATCTACAGAAGGGAGGTGATAACTGAGATATTTTAGCCTGCCTAAGCCTTTTAGTTAATTCAAATTCTCCTCGACGTATTTTACACATTTACAAATACAAAACATTGTGGTTGAACAAGTTACCTTGAACATTTGAATACCTCAAAGGAAAAGGTGGCTGTCATGTTCCTTTTTGACTCTTGGTAAAAGGGCAAGTATATATTTTTTAAGTGGACACTATCATATAGAAAATGTTTCAGCTTATATGTTGTTTCCAACAACCACCTTCAATTCAGCCGTGAATGTTTTTCGATTGCGTTAGGGTGCCTTTCACATGATACGCAATTTGCTCTCTGCTCACAGCGGGTGCAGTGCTTTGCAGAGAAAACAGCTAGTTAAGTTTTGATTCTATCGTTACCTCCCCTGCTAGCTTGCGCCACTTCATAAAGCTGACAGCTCATAGTTTGAAAGTCAAAAGGTCAGTCGTATACAAGGTCAAAGTTTAAATCATTTGAGGTTTAGAGGAGTGCTTTTCAACAATTTTGAGCAATGTGAAACGCAGAGGGAAGCGCAGAGGGAAGCGCAGAAGGCATCGCTCTTTCCAAAGGAGAGAACGACAACATCAGCGCAGAGCCGTTTCACCGCTGGTCATGTGAAGGCAACTTAACTAGACTAAGTGATACTGTTTAAGCACAAAGGTATTAACATATTTAACAATTCTGTTGGAGTGAGGCTGGTGCAGTGGTTGCGTTAAGGCGAGACACCCCAGGTGAATAGGGTAATTTTTTTAACTTAAAGGTATCAGCTAGAAATTTCTCCAGTTAATTACTTACAATAAGGCAATTGTCTTTTGTATTACAAGTTTTCTGAAATAGCATGTTTAAATATGCAAANTTGACACCAGCCAATGAGATTTCGTTTCTTGGTTTAAGACCCCTTTGTGCTTTCACGATTGGTTGCTGATACAAAGGAAATGACCATATTTGGATCCGATGAGATTGTGCATGAGAGACAGAGCTTTCTAACGATATCTCTGTTGACATGGTGCACACAGCGGTCGCGGTACTTTATGTTACGTTAGAAAGCTAACTTTTGGTGAATTTAGGAGAAATCTACTGACGCAAATAGACAAACTATAGTCAAATAAACACTTAAATGTGTATTTTGTACGTTTTCCTTCCAAAAGCCTGAAATAAAACATGTTATAGAATCAAAATAGCACAAAATCTCAAAATTGACCAGTGCTTGAAAAACGATGTTTTTGCCTGCCGTGTCTCGCCTTAACCGAATTCCTTCCGTCTATGACGGATTTCTTTTAACAATGACGGAAAAATCTGAAAGCAGTCCGTCATTTTGACAGATTAGAACAAACTCAGAACAGCGGCAAAGTTTCCCCGCAGCGAGGCTCCGGTGTTATGCATGCCCGCCAAAAAGGAAATTATATGTTTCCAAACCTAACTTTGCCATACAAATCATTGAAATGTTTGTGAGTATTTGCTTTACGCTGTGTGCGCTCCCTCGAGGTGCAGTGGGCATGCATAATAACATGGCATAACACCGGCGATAACAGTTCACTTGACCATAGTATCATGGTTAATGGTAATTATACAAATTTAAAAGAAAAACACAATCAGATAGCAATGTATGCTAACACACTGTTATCTACTCTGTCTCTATCTATTGATGTTTAAGAATACATGAAAAACTGTTACATTTACATCTATTTCAGACATGGCTACAACTTTGTGCTGATGTTGCCCATTGGAGCTTCAAACATTGACATCCGTCAGCGTGGCTACAGAGGAATGGTCAGCGATGAAAACTACTTAGCGGTGAAGAATCGGCACGGCAAGTACCTGCTGAACGGCAACTACGTGGTCTCAGCCGTTGAGCGAGACTTGCTGGTGAAGGGCAGCTTACTGCGCTACAGCGGCACCTCCACCTCTGTAGAGATCCTTCAGGCCACCAGACCCCTGCAGGAGCCTCTGACTGTGGAGGTGCTCTCTGTAGGGAAGATGACTCCTCCCAGGGTGCGCTACTCATTCTACATCTCCAAGGAAAGCAAGGAGGAGAAGACTCTGTGGAAAGAGGACAAAAGCCACAAAGCGCATAATAGTGTCTTGGCAGACAGTAATCGGGTAGAGGCTAAGAAGCTGATGATGGGAAAGAGGCCCGTCAGTCATTGGGTAACAGGAAGTTGGGATTCGTGCACAGTGACTTGTGGGAATGGGCTGCAGAAAAGGCTTGTGGAGTGTCAGAGCATAGAGGGGCGTCCAGCAGTGGACTGTGACAGTGCTGACAGACCTGTAGCATTGAGATCATGTGGGGATCCATGTCCTATGTGGGATGTAGGGGTCTGGTCTCACTGCTCCAAATCATGTGGAAGGGGCTTTAAAAGGCGGCCGGTGCGCTGTATGACTGAGAATGGTTTGAATCTGCCAAGGGACCACTGCTCTGGAAGGAGGAAGCCTCAGGAACTGGACCTCTGCAATCTGAAGCCATGTTAAAGCAGAACAGGCACAGCCCAAGGACCTATTTGCTTCAGTAAAAGTGACAATTTTACATGAACCTGAGACCAAATCAGCAATTTAATAACCCTATTACTGGGTTGGGTGGAAGTACTCTCAGATGCAGCCTGACAGTGTTTCAAGTGGTGTCTGTTAGAGCAAAGAAACACAATGGAGAAAGAGATGATCTCCATTCATTGTTTGAAAAGACAAACATCTGCCTAGAGAACAGAAAAGAAGGGAAGTCTTCTTTTGAACCGTCAAACCATCCGCATCAGGTTTGACCTGTGGTTAGTCTACCTCGACTAGGAACAATGACACAATGCCTGAGCATATACTGACAGAAACAAATGAGAAAGATGCAGAGACAGTGATCACACATATCTGCCCATAAACATACTTTCTTGGTAAAGCTACCTGCATGGGATGAAATTGAAAAAAGGGCAAAAAAAAGTCCAGGACAAACAGATAAAGTGAGATATAACCTCAGCACTCACACTTTGCATTTATCAAAAGCAGATATCTCACCTGGGAGTTTTCTAATTTCACTGAAAAACTAATGAAAATGTGAAACACGGTACTGTATGATTCACGCAACATTCAAGAACTGTATTCCATGCAGTTATTTCTTAATTCTGTACTATTGACTGTCCGATGTGAATAATCAGTCAGTAGCCAATCACTGCCTGTTTGAGTCAGACCATAGCTTTAAAAACCTTACAAAATGAAAACAGTCAACAATATACACCACGTACTTGATACAATCTTTATAGTTTTAATCAATATCAAAGCATTCCTGGACTGTACTTGTTACCAAATGTGTCAAGATGTTAGCTATTCTTATTATTGAATGCACGCTGTTAGAGTGGTGCAATGTGTCTGTGACAATTTGTGCAAAACCAAACCAACTAGAGCACAGCTGTTTTGATTCTGTTTGGCCAAAGAGTTGTAACATAACAATCAAATAAGGCAGCATATTAAACAGCATGTAAACTTACCTGTAAATGATACTGTTAATGGACCAGACCAATGCTAGTGTGCTCTTTATTCTTCAATAGCATTGAAAACCCACTGTCTGCCCATTACATAAAGGATAGAGTGCAATATTATTTAACATTTGATATGTTATAGACCAAACCATGGTGGTTTGCATTTTGCCCCTTCTAAAAAATAGGTTGTTGTCAGTTTGGAGATAGTAAAGATCAATATAGATTATTAAAACTTCTGTAGAATTTATCACTTCTCTACTGAATATCTATATATTCAGAAGATTCCTTACAATAATAATAATACTAATATAGAATGAGGGTTAATTCGTAAATTACATTTTGACTAAAAACGTAAGGTTACCCTCCTCAAAGCTCTACATGTATGTTCTTTTTTCATTTTAGAAGACCTTATATTTTGCAAAAAGTTCAATATATGTTGTGATGAATACGTGTTGGCTTTTGTTATTTCTTCGACCTCTATAGGCTTTAGCCCTTCGGGTACATACAGTAGCTGCTTTATCACCTTCAGCCCTTAATGAACAGACATATTGCATCATGCCAGAATATCAATATAAAGCCCTTTTTTCAGAAAAAGGTTGATAATACATATCTATGGTCAAATTAAATGGACCACCCACCCTTATATTCAATCAAACACCCATTGGTGTCATTTCATTTTGTTTTTTTATCAAAGGATTACATTTGAAAACTAATATACACAGCAAAATAAATGTGGGGTTACACGCGAAAAATGTAAGTAAAGTTGGGTTTCACACCCTAAGACTTAAAGTGCAAGGGCATCTGTCTGGACTTTTACATGTTTACAAAGTTTAATAATGAAACTAAATTGTATCATCTGTAAGAATGGAAAATTCAGCACTTCCTGTTTCAAAATCCTTAAAATATAACATCCCAGAAAAATAGATAACTATTTGTTTTTTAAGATGGTACTTTAAACTGACGTCCTTCAACAGAAATGCAATTGAATTCCTAATTTCCAGTGTTATTTGGTTTAAAGTGGACCTATCATGCTATATATGAATACTATATTGTAGGGCCATACCTATATAAGGTATATTTATATGTTTTTTTTTCAAAATACCAAACAGATCATGCATTTTAGTCATGCCTCATTTCGCTCTATTTTGCTCTCCTCCACCCTGTCTTTACATGCGCTGCAGCTGACCACGCCCACCTGCAAAGGAGGGGGCCGAGTTACGAGCATCATGTTACCATGCTGTTACCATGCCAGGGCACCATGCCAGGGCAACCTCTCATTCCCCTGATTGGTGGAGAGTTGGCCATATAGGCGGAGCTCCTCATCACTGGTGTTAGACTATTTTCAAATCTGGATCAGTCTGTATCAGATCCGTGGCAGCCCCGTTTTTAGAGATTTGGGTATGGAGGAAAAGAGAGAGGGTTGTGTTTTCTGACACTTGGTGAGTTCCCTGGCACACCGGGGACACATATTCATGTATACAAGACGTACAAAAGTGCATTTTGCATGATAGGTCCCCTTTAAAGGACCAATTATACCGTCTGAAAGGTGCCATTGTACAGTTGCTGGTTTTTTTTCATGTACAGATAATGCTATCAATTGTCTTTTGTATTGTATACTATGTATACATTCATCTAGCTGTATAAAATAAAGTATATATATAAGAATACAAGCATATACTGAGTCATGATTGATGTTTTCTCTGATTAGTCACCCATCATTGCCATGGTAACTTTGGAAGCTGCAGCACACACATGATAGTCGCTAAACACAGTATTGTTCTGATACTTTAAGTAATACTAACCTACTGTAAATCAGACATATTTGAATGATGGACTGTATGGATATCTATTGTGTCTTGAACATCTTCCTTTGCATCAGCAGTTTCTGTTATAGCAGACTTCTGCTGTGCCACGCAGTCTTCTGTCACATGAGATGAATCAGTCTTGATATCTCAGCCCTTCTCCAACTGAAGCATGACCCCGGATTAATTTTTTTTCCTTCATCCACTTTGGTATTCGGTTGATTCAAGCTCTGTTATCCCAGCTTGACTGTAATAACACACCCAGCCTGGCCATTGCCTGCCCATTGAGCCCGATGCTCTGTTGGACAGATGGCTCTCAGACGTGCACACCGTCAGTCACTCCAAGGATTTGACCCATATTGAGGTCCAACTAATAAAATCAACATATTTGGATAAAATATATAGTTGGTTTAAAAGGGGTGAGTAAAATGATCTAGCATAAATGTTCTTGGATTTAAAAGTTCAGGTAAAATCCCTAAGCCTTTATGGGGTTGTATTATATAGCATGCTGATGGTGCCTTACTAATGGTGACAACAATTGTTTAATCCAGTATTGAGCAAGAGCTTTGTAGCCACTTAATTTGCTGCCATTTGATCCTTCGGGCAATTCTGCAACGTCATTTCTCTAAAAGTGGACTCCTAGTAAACTCCTTTCCATACTGTTGTCAGAAGCAATAACAATCTTAGCCTATCAGTGGCAAAAACTATCTCTTAAAGTAAACGTTCAGCGACTGCAATGAAATAGCTTCGGGCTATTACTCACAGTCTCTTCGGCTGTTGCTGTCAACACCAAACTCACGTAATACTGAACCATTTTGAATAACTGTTGTACACATTAGTTGCATGGATACAAGAAAATGGAAAATAATCGTCCAAGTGGAAAAATGTTGATGTTACTGTTGGTGTAATGGGTAGCGAGGGGAGGCAGGCTACCAAAGGGCTGGATAATTAATTGAAAGTTCTCTCCTTCACTCAATTTATCAACATTAGCAATTCCTCATTGGACACACCTGCCGAGGGATATTACTTTATCTTCTCAGACTTGACATACTTGACAGAGCTCCTCCAGAGCCACAGAAAGGCCCAACTGTTTTTACAGGGAGAGCCCCTTAGACTTTATTATCGCCAAAGAGGGATGTGATTTTGAGTCAAATATTGAACTTGTATTGTGCATTTGTCTTACACTGCACTGCTATCACAAGATTCAAATTGAAGAAGAAGCCAGCTAGTTACTAAAAACACAATGTCCTAGTCATTCAAAGGCCTTTCCCTAAAGCTGAACTGGGGTTTTCATCCAAATCTCCACGCTTGTCAGCCTGAATCAAAAAAACAAAACCAAACAAATAAACTACACTCTAGCAATTCACATGTGTAAAACTGCATAAATTACATTTCAGTTTGAGTTTGTATGAATTTCCATTCACATTAAGTTACGTTATTTTTTAAACTCGTTAGATTCCAATATCTAAAAGTGTTTATGAAAAATGGGTGCAGAAGATGTTATGGAGTTTTATACAATTTAGAGTTTTTTGGCTGGATCAGATATTGAGCTGGATTTGTTTTTTGACAGAACACATGCCCTAAGAAGTGCAGCTGCATTAGCCAAGCAAGAGCATTGTTGGAAGAAGTACTTAGATACTTTACTTAATTAAAATACAAATATGTGTGTCTTAAAATACTTCATAACAAGTACAAGTCCTGATGTTCCTTAGGTAAAAGTACAAACATATTAGCATCAAAATATACTGAAAGTACAAAAGGTAGTTTTCATTCTGCACAACAACCCTTCTCAGAATAATATAAAGTATTTTTTGATCAGCTTTTAGGTAATTAAATAATCAAAAGTAAAAGTACTCCTTATGCAGAATGGATATTTTTTTTTTGAGTATTATATTATTATGGTTATTACATGATCCTGTTAGTATCACTAACTTGTAAGCGCATTTTAGTATTTTAGCTTGTCAACCAAGTTTGGATAATTGAAACACTGTGTATTTGTAGAAGAGTACTGCATTCAAGTTGTACTGAGAAGTGGGATTATCCGAGTTCCCAGTCAGATATTTCAACTCAAACACCCCCTGAGGTCAGATTTCCAACTTGGAAACTCAGAGATACCTCGCCATACCCGAGATCATCATTCAAAATGGAGCCAACGCATATGAATATTAAGAGGAAACTTATAATATATAATTCTGCTCTTCTGTATTAATCGTGTGACATTGGATCAACTGTACATATGGTACTGCTCATCTGCTATCTGTTGATATGTTGCTAGGATAGTTGTATTCAGAAAATACAAAATAAAGAGTTGTCAACCGGCATTGCTAACAATGACTAACCCGATGTGTCTGTAACAGCTGTATGGCAAACTACTGATGGCGTCCATCTTTTCCCGACTCTTGCTACTGGAAGGCAGTCAACTCGGATGTTACGTCCAACCTCCGACTTCCAATGTAAATGGGTTGCAGCATACTATACAAAGTTACGAGTAGCTGTGAGTATTAAATAAATGTAGTGGAGCAAAAAGTATGATATATGCCTCTGAAATGTAGTGGATTAGAAATTCTAATCCACCACATTTCAGAGGCATATATCATACTTTTTTATTCTAATTTAGAATAAAAATAAGTAGCATCAAATGGAAATACTCAAGTTAAGTACAAAATGACAAAAAAGTATTAATTCCAATACTTGAGTAAATGTACTAAGGTATTTTCCCATCACTGAGCCAGAGGATAGAATCATCTGGGACCTTAGGCATCAGGAGCTTGTGAGCAATGCATCCTGGTATGTACTCTTGTTTTTTCAACCCAGTTTGCAGGAATTGGTCTGACTCGTGAATTATAGTCAATTTTTTTACCTTGACCTCATGTCCATTACTGGATAAAACTACAACATGTGATGGGTCTGGCAGGCTGGAATAGGTTCATGGAACCATGATTAACACAAGAGTGAAGTAAGACTGTGATCTGAAATATTAAGGTATGAGGGATGATTTCTTAACACTACTGTACATGAAAAATAGGATTTTAATGGAATTTAGTTTGGAATTTAGAACAACCTTCTTAAGTCAGCAATACTTTTCCTTTGGTTATACACAGCTTCTCCACCCATTTCATCTTCTCACCCATCTTTAAAAATAGAAAGTAAAGAAGCACAGACCTGCTTCATCGCTGTTTGAATCTTTAGACCCTTTAATTGACCTGGACTGTCCCTGTCGCTTCCTGAATGGATCAAGCTCTATTGGAAGTGAGATTTGGTCCAATGTATTAACAAAATCACCCTCTTGGAGTTCATCTTAAAGAGTTTTTCTTCACAGTGGGCCGTGGCTGTAGGGAGGTGTGAAGTGAACTCTTGTCCGGAAATCACATTATCTGTTTTGCACAACAACACAGCAGTCGACAAGGCCTCTGCCAAGAGCTGAGTGGATTTTGATTTACTCTCCCCCCTCCTCTTCTGCACCCTGAGTACTGTCAACCTATTCAGACACCACTCACGTGGCTAATGAGTATAAAGGGTTAATTTTTCCCACTCCATGGGAACCACTGAGGCTTTAAGTTGGCCTTTCTTTACATTGACTGAAATGCAAAGTCAAAATGACCAGCGTTGCGGAATTAAATGCATTTGGAGGGCTGTAAACAACTGGCTATGAAGTTCATTTGCTTAGCCAAGGGGTTGGGAAATACATCAAGGTCACCACTAAACAAAGGTTCTTTGTGGGGAAAATACACAGCATTTAGGCAATATCTAAAATAATTCCATGCAATCGATTTATTTATGCATTATGTTGCTTTTAAATAAGGCAATAACTATCACAGGCAAAGATTGATTAGTTGACCTGATGACAAACGCTTCTCTCCATCTTGTTCACTCTCTCCCAAGGATATGCTGTTACATGTGTACAATTACCAATCTCCAAATGCATCTTTGGATTGATAAATTGATCCAAACCAGGGGTTTTCAAAGTGTGGGAAGGTGAGCCTCCCCTCAGAGAAAATAAGAACAGCCGCGCCCCCCATCCCAATTATTATTGCTATTAGTATTATTATTGTTGTTGTTGCGATAATGCAGGGGTATTCAATTGAATTTCAAAGAGGTCCAGCATGAGGACATGTCATTAAATGCTCTGTTTTCGCTTTCTACCTTTCTCTTTTTTGAGCACGCCATTTGAAATTACTCCGACTGTTTCTCTCTTCTTGTCTCGCCTCTGTGTGTGTTTGAATCTATCGTGCTGACTCACTGACTGCACCAATTTGATTGGCTGAGTAGCGTCACCTCCTTA